TATTGATAAATTAAGGGATGCATTTAATTTGTTGGAACGCGAAGGTTTGATTAGATTAGGAAAAGAGAAAAAAATTGTTGATCAGCCAAAAGGGGACAATAATTACGATTATAATTCCTTCAAAAGAAATAGTAATAGGTTATATGTTAATAGTAATCATAACAATGGAAATAATAGAAATATAAATGTTAATTCAAGCCAAACAAGATCATTTAATAGTAACCAATATTCAAGAAACTATCAACGCAACGGCTCTAATGTTCATCGATCTTTTGGAAATGTAAATAACAGTTCAATACCTAATGTAAATAGTGAAATGGAAGTAGACCATATTCAGTTCAGCCAAAATGCTAATTCAAACGAGGAAGAACAAGTAAATTTTCTTACAACTGCCTCAAAAAGGCACTTCCAATGATTTATCTTACTATTGGAGAAAACAAAATTAAAGCACTTATTGACACCGGCTCAACTACTTCCATTATGAACGAAACAAAACTTCCAAAATTTAAAAGAATTCCACTTTCTAAGAAAATATCCTTTACGTCATTAAATGGTAGTATGGAAATTACTCACGAAATTATTACGGACCTACCCATAGAATTTAGTGAAAAGGCAACAATGTCTTGGAAGCTAACAAAATTTTTTAATAAGGATTTTGATGCAATTTTAGGTCAGAACATATTGAAGCCTCTCGGAGCTATAATTGACATGGAAAGAGATACATTGACCATTAATAATATTACGCTAAATTTTATCAGAATTTGTCCATATGAAGCTGATGAGATTCACCAAATCGAGACATTAGATTTTGAAAACACAGTTTTAGATCATTTATTCAAAAATTTGAATCATGAAGAATCTTTAGCTTTAGAAGACATTTTATGTTCATTTAACGATTTGGTGTATCAAGAAGGCGATATGCTGGGAAATACACCCATTATCGAACATGAGATTAAAACCATCTCCGATAAGCCTGTATATACCAAAATTTACAGATACCCACACATATACGAGCAAGAAATTTGTAATCAGATAAAAGAAATGCTTGAAGGTGGTATAATAACTGAGAGCAATTCTCCTTATAACAGTCCTCTTTGGATTGTTCCGAAGAAAATAGATCACTCAGGAAAACAAAGATTCAGGATTGTCATTGATTATAGGAGACTCAATGATTTAACGGTTGATGACAAATTCCCAATCCCTAACATTGATACAATACTGGATAAACTTGGTCGTTCGCAATATTTTACTACAATAGATTTGGCTAAGGGGTTTCACCAGATTATGGTAAAAGAGTGTGATAGACCTAAAACGGCTTTTTCAACACCTTACGGACACTACGAATTCGTCCGAATGCCATTTGGGTTGAAAAATGCCCCTGCCACGTTTCAACGGCTGATTAACCAAGTTCTTCGTGAGTTTATTAATAAGATATGTGTCGTATATCTCGACGATATACTTATATTTTCGTCCAGTCTTCAAGAGCATATGACAAGTATTAGAATGATTTTAAGTGCTTTGAGAAAAGTAAATCTAAAAATTCAGATCAATAAATGCTCGTTTTTTGCAAAGCAAACTTTATACTTAGGCCACTTGCTGACAACAGAAGGAGTTAAACCTAATCCAGAAAAAATCGATACAATTCTAAACTTAAAATTACCTCATACTATAAAAGGTATAAAATCATTTTTGGGTATAACAGGATATTACCGTAAATTTATAAGAGATTACGCAAAAGTGGCATATCCAATGATTAAATACCTACAAAAAGACGTTCGATTAAATGTTAATGATCCAAACTTTATAAATTCATTTGAAAAATTAAAAAGAATCTTGACAGAAGACCCAGTATTAAAATATCCTGACTTTCACAAACCTTTCCAATTAACAACTGATGCTAGCGATATCGCAGTTGGTGCCGTTTTACAACAAAATGGACATCCAATATGCTACGCCAGCAGGACACTTAGTAAACATGAACGTAATTACTCAGCCACAGAAAAAGAACTTCTAGCAATAGTTTGGGCAACTAGCTATTTTCGTCCTTATCTGTACGGCATTAAATTCGATATACTTTCAGACCATCAACCATTGAAATGGTTACTTGTAAAATCTCAGACAAAGGAATTGAGCCCACGACTATATCGCTGGATAATGAAATTAAGTGAGTTTAATATTAATATTGGGTACATCAGAGGAAGAGATAATACGGTTGCTGATTTCTTAAGCAGACTTAATAACGATTCCGGGCAAATTAACCATTTCAGCGATTCCAATGGATCATTATACAATAATGGTGATGATGATTTGGAAACCATCCATTCGCAGTTGGAAGGCGATAATGATTATATAAATATCCTGGATACGGTAGTTAATAGGTTTAAAGTACAAATTATTTTGACAAATGATAAATATAAAGAAACTGATGAAGTACATGGCAATAAAAAGATTTTCATAAATTCAGAAGATTTAAATGCTACTGTGGATAAAATACTAATGGACAATATAAAAAAAGGAATAGTTGGAATTTTTACAGAACTTAGTGATAAAAAGTACTATATTTTACAAAAAAAGATAACAGACCTATTTCAGGGCAACTCTTCCGTTAAATTTGTTCGGTGTGCATATATGGCACAAGATATGAAAAATGAAGACGAGACATATCAACAAATACATTACTATCACAAAAATGAGACTGGACATACCGGTATAAATGAAAATTATGAGGGTTTAAAACGAAAAATATATTTTCCCAACTTGAAATTTTTAATCCAAAAATATGTTAATAATTGTGATATTTGCAGTAGGGTAAAATTCGATCGAAATCCCATAAAAGCTAAATTTCAAAATACGGAAACTCCAACCGACATTAGACAAATTATCCATATGGACATATATATAAATTCAAAATGCAGTTTTTTGACATTTTTCGACCGTTTTTCGAAGTTTGCAACAGCTTATTATTTAGAAGACAGGACTAACCAAACGGTCATAGAAAAAATTCGTCTATATAAATCACAAATGGGATACTTCAGTAAACTAATCACAGACAATGAATTTAAAAGCATAAATATAAGAGATTATTTTAGAGAGGAGAATATAGAACTGCACTTAGTCAAATCTAACAACCATACCGGAAACTCTGATATAGAAAGATTCCACAATACTCTTACAGAAAAAATTAGAATGTTGTATATTGAACAAAAGTCTTTATCTATTAAAGAGAAAGTAAGTAAAGCCGTGGAATTTTATAATAACAGTTACCATTCAGTCATTAAGGAAAAACCATTCGATGTTGAATTTGGAGCTTGCAATAAAACAAAGGTCTATGAAAGAGCCATTGCTATAAAAGAACATGTAATAAATAAAAGAAATATGAATAGAGAAAATTATACAGAACATAGAGACAAAGGTTACATTAAAAATTATAAATCTGTAAGGCATAAAGATGAGCCTAAATTTCGATTAAATGATCTTCAAAATGTGCATAAATCCAATATAAAAAGAAAAACGAAATATAAAGATGAATATGATATCAAATGCCTTAACTCTTAATATATTTAATTAACATTTGACACTAGTATATATTTTATTATTAGTTTGTATAGTAAGTTATTCTTAATGTCTTAAACAAAATTAACAACAATGTGGACATTGTCCTGATTTAAACGAAGGGGAAGTTACGTAATTGTTCAGTTATGCCCTTCACTGTATATATTGTTTTACTTTCTTTATTTTCATTCTTTATAAATTATTCTTTATTCCTTTCCTTTTAAATTGAATTCCGATCTCTCTCATCCATAACCCTTAGTTTTAAGAAATTATGTTATAAATATTGTTGTAAATCTTAGAGTTAAGTCAGTCGTATGTAAGAAGTTAAAGCGAAGTGTCGCAAATATTAAATAATAAAATGAATTGAACTAATGTGTGTTTTTCTATTTTCTTAACTCACGCGCACTCAGAAGAATAGTTACAAAATGAGGTTCCTCCTTCATTTCCAGCGCACAATGGCCACCAAAATCTCCGGACACCAATCCGTTGGACTATTGTGTCTGGAGTATTTTGGAATGCAAGGTTGGCACTAAAAAATACCAAAGTGTCGACCACCTCAAGCAAGCGCTTCGAAGGGAATGGGCCAAAATACCGCAGAGCAACATTCGGGCAGCGTGTGACGGTTTCAATGGCCGTTTGAAGGCCACAATTAGTGCCAAAGGTGACCAATTTGAACAAATCTAAACTTATTCTAAAATTTGATGCTATTTCCGACATTTTTAGCTTTCATTCAATAAAATTTAAAAAAAAAAAAATATGGCGCTTGACTTTGTTGCAGTTTTTATACCCTCAGCTCATATGGCTACAGAGGGTATATATCATTTGATACGGTCAAAACGTGCCTAGTCGAAATAACGGTTTTAGACCCTAGGTCTCTTTGGACCAAATCCGATTCGGAACATTTGGAGTCGATTTAGCGATGTCCGTCCGTCCGTCCGTCTGTCTGGCTGGTGCGCACGATAACTCTCGAAGGGAGTATCCGATTTGGTCCAAACTTGGTACATCGTAATATTTTTGTCAAACTTAGATCGAGTTCGAAGATGGACAATATCGATGGCACCTTCCCCACAAAAGGTCGAAATTTGCAAAAAAAAAATTATTCTTTGCACAGAAAGAGAAGGGAAAATCCGATTTTGCTCCAAATTTTGCAAATCCTAATATTTGCATCGGCCCCAACTTTTTACCTCTCATTTCTAGTTTTTATATAGGCTTCCCGTGGTCCATACTTTTTGTGAGATTTCTTTGCTTTAGCGATCCTCCGAGGATTTAAATATTAACTATCCAGAGCGCCACTATAGCCAAAAGCAATGTCGCAGCCAAGACACTGAGCTATATGGGCTACGTGGATATATAATTCTGGCGACAGAATGCTTTCCTTGATCAAATATTATATTACTTATTACAAAAATTATGGTTTTTGCAGACAAAAATATGTTCAGATATCTTACCTAAAGTTTTGGTACTGAGTTGGTTCTAGTCCTTTAAAAAAATTCCTGCAAAAAAAAAAAGAAAAAGAAATACAAATCAAATTAGAATAAATTAGTTACTAAGAATCATACCAAAAATCATTGGACATAAATGTAGACCAAGAGGGACAAGGACGATCGACATTCAAAGACAATTCTTTATCCAAGGTCCTATGAAAAAAAAAAGTTCTGTGTGAGAACTTGAAGCATGTTCAGAATATCAGTTGAAATACTTCAATGAATTTCATATTTTTCCTACACGCCACGATTGTCAATATCCTCGTTCTCACATTTTCTTTTTCATTCTTCATGTCATAATCTCATGCTTCATTGATTTTATATTAGACGTATGTAGGTGTTGATGTGTCACAAGGCTTGTTTTTCTTTCAAAAGAAGAGGGGAAGAAAAAAATCGCAATTTTTTGTGGTAGATTTTCTTTAATCCCTTTAAACCAATGAGCTGTGGAACAAACCTCACACATACTCACACGCCCACCCATCAACGTACCTAGACAACATGACAACATATCACTTGAAGACAGATAACACAACGTTTCTGGGGTAGAAGGTAGAGGAGGGGTAGGTGAGGTGGTGCGCAACTCAATAACATTCGTGATGACAGCTCAAACATTCGACACCATGTCTTTGCATTAAATTCAATGTCATTTCGTTGCTACATTTCTGTCATCATTCTCGGTGTCATCTCCGTGCTCCCCCCGCCCCATCGTCCTCATCATGATCATCGTCATTTCCAATGTTCTTATTAGAATGGTGATTGTCCTTCAACATGTCGTAGTCTTCTTCTAGTTTTCGTTGTTGTTGTTCTTTTTTCATATTTCATATTTTTCTGGTTAGTAGGTTATGATTTTTTTGCGTATTTTCTTTTATTTCAATTTCCTTTTCCGTTGATGGGCTGCTGACTAACCGCAACGTAAATGATGTGAAATTTGTCATCTGTTAAAAAAGGACACAAAACATGGAGAGCATCCCAAATATTTAATGGGTTTATTAATATCTATCAACAGAGCGTAGCTTTAATTGAAATGAGGGAGAGAGGGGATATGATATATAGATATTTCGCTTACAGAATTAATAAGTATACGATGGTATTGAAAACTAGTCTTCCAAATGGTCTTGGATTTCTACAAAAAGACCATAAGTGGTTAGGTCTGGTTTTCTTAGAAGACTTAAAGTTGTCATCTCATAGAAGACCAGGGTTGTCTTTTCACAGAAGACCAGAGTTGTCGTGTCGTAGGAGACCAAAGTGGTGATCTCCTTCTAGAGGACCAGACGTGGTCTTGTCTCCTCGAAGATCATAGGTGATCTTCTCTCATAAAAGACACAGAGGTGGTCTTTGGTTAGAATCCCAGAGGCGGTTTAGAATACAAGAGGTGATCTTCTCATAAAGGACCAAAGATGGCCTTCTTCAAAGAGACCAGAGGTGGTCTTCTTATAAAAGAGCAGGTGGTCTTATCGGAGAAGACAAGTTTGCCTTCTCCTTAGAAGACCGGTGGTGGTTTTCTCCTAGAAGACTTAAAGACAGGAGACCAGATTCGTCTTGTAGTAGGAGACCAACGTTATTTTTCTCGTAGGACTTCAGAGGTGTTCTTCTCCTAGAGGACAAGACGTGATCTTGTCTCTTCGAAGATCATAGGTGATCTTCTCTCATAAAACACACGGAGGTGGTCTTCTGTTAGAATACAAGAGGAGATCTTCTCATAAAGGACCAAAGATGGTCTTCTCATAGAAGACCAGATGTGGTCTCCTCATAGACGATCAGTGGTGTATTTTCTTAGAAGACCAGAGGTGGTCTTCTTTTAAAAGACAAGATATAGTCATATTTTTAAGGTCCAGATGTGGTCATCCCTTCTAAGAGACGGAGGCTGTCTTTTTCAAAAGACCAGAAATGGTCTTCTCTTAGGAGACATAGGCGGTCTTTTCTTCGAAGACCAGTTGGTCTGCTCATAGAATACCAGAAATGGTCTTCTCATTGAAGGGTTGGTCTTTTCTTAGAAGACCTGAGGTGACCTTCTCTTAGAAGACCAGTGGTGGTCCTCTCTTAGAAGACCAGAGGTGGTCTTCTCTTAGGAGACCAGAGGTGGTCTTCTCTTAGAAGACTTGGGGTGGTATTCTCTTAGAAGATCAGAGATGGTCTTCTCTTAGAAGACCAGAGGTGGTCTTCTCTCAGAAGACCAGTGGTGGTCTTCTCTCAGAAGACCAGAGGTGGTCTTCTCTTGGGAGACCAGAGGTGGTCTTCTATTAGAAGACCAGAGCTGGTCTTCTCTTAGAAGACCAATGGTGGTCTTCTCTTAGAAGAATTGGGGTTGTCTACTCTTAGAAGACTAGAGGAGGTCTTCTCTTAGAAGACCAGAGGTGGTCTTCTCTGAAAAGACCAGAGGTGGTCTTTTCTCAGAAGACCAGAGGTGGTCTTTTCTCAGAAGACCAGAGGTGGTCTTCTCTCAGAAGACCAGAGGTGGTCTTCTCTCGGAAGACCAGAGGTGGTCTTCTCTTGGGAGACCAGAGGTGGTCTTCTATTAGAAGACCAGAGCTGGTCTTCTCTTAGAAGACCAGAGCTGGTCTTCTCTTAGAAGACCAATGGTGGTATTCTCTTAGAAGAATTGGGGTTGTCTACTCTTAGAAGACTAGAGGAGGTCTTCTCTTAGAAGACCAGAGGTGGTCTTCTCTGAAGTCTATAGGTCTCGTAGAAGTCTATAGGTCGTCTTCTCGTAGAAGATCAGAGACTTTTATGTAGAAGACCAAAGATAGTCTTCTCGTAGAAGACTAGAGGCGGTCTTCTCGTAGAAGACAAGAGACATCATTGCTTGACCTTCTCAGAGAATATCTGGTGGTTTTCTCTGAGAAGCAGTCTTCTCTGAGAAGTAGTCTTCTCGGAGAAGACTACTTACTCTTCTCGGAGAAGACTACTTACCCTTCCCGTAGAAGACTACTTACTCTTCTCTGAGAAGACTACTTACTATTCTCTGAGAAGACTACTTACTCTTCTCTGAGAAGACCATTTACTCTTCTCTGAGAATACCATTTACTCTTCTCTGAGAAGACTACTTACTCTTCTCGGAAAAGACTACTTACTCTTCTCTGAGAAGACCATTTTCTCTTCTCTGAGGAGACCATTTTCTCTTCTCTGAGAAGACCATTTTCTCTTCTCTGAGAAGACCATTTTCTCTTCTCTGAGAAGACCATTTTCTCTTCTCTGAGAAGACTACTTACTATTCTCTGAGAAGACTACTCTTCTCGTAGAAGACTAGAGGCGGTCTTCTCGTAGAAGACAAGAGACATCATTGCTTGACCTTCTCAGAGAATATCTGGTGGTTTTCTCTGAGAAGCAGTCTTCTCTGAGAAGTAGTCTTCTCGGAGAAGACTACTTACTCTTCTCGGAGAAGACTACTTACCCTTCCCGTAGAAGACTACTTACTCTTCTCTGAGAAGACTACTTACTATTCTCTGAGAAGACTACTTACTCTTCTCTGAGAAGACCATTTACTCTTCTCTGAGAATACCATTTACTCTTCTCTGAGAAGACTAATTACTCTTCTCTGAGAAGACCATTTACTCTTCTCTGAGAAGACCATTTACTCTTCTCTGAGAAGACCATTTACTCTTCTCTGAGAAGACCATTTACTCTTCTCTGAGAAGACCATTTACTCTTCTCTGAAAAGATCATTGACTCTTCTCTGAGAAGACCACCGACTCTTCTCTAAGAAGACCATTGACTCTTCTAAAAAAAACCTATGCTATGATTGCAATGCTCTGTACCTCCGGGAATAACTCACATAATCTTATTTGCCTGTACGTGTTTACTAACACATTTTCAATTTAAAGTGAAATTCACCATGACAAGTAAATACACGAAACTTATTCTTACGGAAATCCCATGGCGGCAGGAAGAATTAAAATCCTCTTCATTTCAAAATTACAGATGTTTCAGGGAATGGAAAAAATTCTTCGAAATGTTTACTTTAAAACTTTATCCCCCACTAAATTCGTAAAAAACGCACATGTGGTCCACAGACCCACACGCACGCACACACATCGTGGCAACTAAATTCCAAAGTAAAATAGGAAACAAAAACCTCCAACAATCCCCCTCCAAAGTATCGCATGAAAGTCAAACACATATACAAAAACAAAATCTCATAAGCTTTCAAAAAAAAAAAAAAGTGAAAGAACAGGGAAAAACTTTTTTGTGATTGATAAGTGGATCAGCAGCAACGTGGAATGTTGCTGAGGGTGGTAATGGTATGTTGTCACCCACCCCTTTTTTGGGGGAGTTGGGGAAAATATTTGATTTAGTTGAAGCACATCCCTCCAGTGGGATATATTGACAATTAATATTGATTTTCGGAAAAATTAAATTACAAACTAATTGCATTGCGATTTCCCATTGTTATTTTGGTAATCTAATTAGAAAATGGGAAATTTGTCAGAAGTAATTTCAGTGAGGAGACAATGGAAAAATGGTTGATTAATTTGTCGTTCTGGTAAAAAAATCGCAAAACGAGAAGAAAGTGAAAATGATAAGCTAAACGGTAACAAGGTATTAAGAAATGAGGACGCTTAAGGCATTTGAAGTGCCTTAAATATATATTCTTTAAAAAAAATTAAAATTAATTAAAAAAGACCTTAAAAATAATTTTTTTAAAACCAACCATTATAAATTTTTCTTAAACCACAAAACAGATCATTTTTGCTTTTAAATTGCTTATTGCTTCAGACTCCTGTCATTTATAAGCTACTCGTCCGACAGCTGTTAAAATTATTCCCGGACAGCTCATTATATTGTTTACAAGCGTACAAAAGTATTTTGGTGAGAATTTTCCAGAAAAAAAGTTATTCGTGATGGAATTGAAGCGTGATAGTGTGATGTCTTTATATTTGGCTGGAAAACCACATGTGCCTACCGGTGGAGTACTTCAGCATTTAAATGTGAATAAATATTTTGTGTCTCGTACCATCGCTCGTCATGGAAGTGGACGGAAGAAAACAGCAACATCAGCAGAAATGGTTCGA